ACAGGGAAGTCCTCAAGCCAACACCTGGGATCCTCTTTGCTAACACTCCTCTCCCCCTAGTCCTCCCCAAATCCCCATTCCTCCATACATCTCCTATACTCCTCATTTACTTTACGAGCAGCTGCTGGGACAAGGACTTTCCTAATTCTTATGGTTATCTAGTGTTTGCTGGGATGGAATAACATCAAGAAAATTTCTACATGTGGGCCAAGTCCTATTTTGGCATCCTTTTTAAAAAGCTGCTTCTCAGGACTTTTATTTATAAGCAAAAGTCAGCTATGGGAGGCAGACTTCTGCAAACCAGGGGGGCTTAGGTTTGGGTTTTTTAACATACCTGCCATGTGAGGCAGCCGAAGGTCTGAAATTCTCACTGCTTGAAAAAAAAAAAAACTAAAGCAATGGCAAACAAATGCCGACATTTGGGGGAAGGGAAATATCTCAAAGAGAAACAAACTGCCAACAAAAATATTTTTCTGTCATAACAGAGAAACCTTTCATTGCAATTTTGACCTTTTGAAGCATTTTTATTTATATATTTAGTTCTTCTTTGATTTATCTTTATGTTATTATTTATTTTTTTCCTATACATCAACAACTGTTCTTTTAAAACTGGTCATTAGCAATTGTTCTGTTAATTTTAACTTCCGTTGGCAATCTCTGAAGTAATTGGCCTTACATTTTGTTCATTTCTTCCCCCCCCTAAAAAATGTTTTGAAATGTAAATCTGAAATATTCTTCTCGGTATTAAAGAGTTTTATTATATGTCTCTTAAAAGAGCAAGAGACAAAAGAGAACATCCCCGAGGAATGCTTCATTTTGAACACATCAACATTTCCACTGAAATAACAAACATTTCCGACCAACCTTTTAAACCACACTTATCTGCTTGTCCTATCTACCCATCCTACCTGCCTTAGCATGGCATTCAGAGCTTTTCTCCTGACACTGAACAGCCTGGCCTCTTCCCTTGGCTTCTGTCCACTGTATTAGACTGTGTCTGAGATTTGGGGTGAAGGATTGCCCTTGCACCCCAAGAAGCCAAAGTCGTTTTTGCCTCTGAGGGTCTTCACCATCCACTACAGCCAGGCTCAGTGCAAACATCCTCATTGCACTAAGTGGGTGACCGGAAAAAAAGGAGTTAATGTGCTTGGTTACCCTTTTCCTTTCCTTTTTTTTTTTTTCCGTTTTTCCCTTTATTTTACCTTTTTCTATTCAGTTGCCCAAAAGTTAAATTAGAACCCAGAAGAGGAAGATAATAAATCACTCTCCGTGTCAGCTGGCAGCAAGACTCGAAATAGCAGCAAAGAAAGTTTAGGGAAGACTGGGGGAGGCTCTAATGAAGAGGATAGGGAGGCATTAAGGGGCACTGCAGTAGGAGAAAGCCACAGTGAGGGGTGGATTTGGAAGAAGGAAATCCATCTGCAGTATGGGGGCATGAGCCATTGTCCCTCCCACCTGTGGTCTGGGGACCACTGATGGCCACCAGAACTGCAGAAGAAAAGCAAAAGTGTAAAAATAAACCACACAAACACACACACAAAGCAAACAAGCAACAAAAACAAACCAGAGGCATTCACAGAGACACAGAAGAACACCAGCAAATGCAGTAAATATGGGAATGGTGTTGATGTGACCCTGGTCAGGACGGTTCAGGGAACCGGGAAGGCAAGAGGAATGGGACAGCATGATACACGTCTGGGCAATTTCAGGTAGGTGTCACAAAGGGTTGTCTGATTTTCTCTTCTCTACCTTTATCAGACAGCTAATAAAAGCTATTTCCTCTCCTTATCCTCCTCGCCTCATTAATTAAGACATAAACATTCAAGGTGTAGCCTGATTTTTACCGTGCTTAAATAAAATTGCAGCAATGCCGCAAGAGACGAGCTGTGAATTTTAGGATTATTTTTTTTCCTTTTAAACAGGACAGCAGTACAAGTTTGAATCATTGCTCACAATCACTTCTAGCCCATTTTTTATTACGTTTGCAGAGCTGGGGTCAGATGGACAGAGAAGCCGGCAGAGCTAACCAGCCTCCAGCTGGACACAGACTCAGAGGGGCACACAACAAAGACCAGCCCCCATTTCCCAAAGGAACATTGAATTGCCAGCCATGGCAAGGCAAACTCATCTTCACAATCACCTGAATACCATCACTTCAGCACAATGTGAACAGGATCCCTCTCTCCCAGCTCTGAACCCAGGAGATGCTGCAGGCAGCTGTACCGCAGCTGACCTCCCTTTGCAGAGAAAAGGTTCACCAAGGGCATGGCTCTGCCTGTGTAAATCTGGACTACACACAAATGTGGACCAAATGCTTTAAGCTACGGTCTCTAGCACTGACAAATCACCTTTCCTTTTCAAGACTCAGGCATAAGGGGTACTGTGATGAACACTACCTCAGGTTCATGGGGTTGGGATGTCTGTCTTTTACACAAAAAGCCCTGTGCACACCAATACATAGAGCTACACATGCCTGAAATTTAAGTCCTAGGGGAAGCTTGGCCCCAGCAGGATGGCAAAAAAAAGAGGGAGGAAGGAGCTGCACCTCCTTCAGCTCCAACCCAGCAGATCATCTGGGCCCCATGATCTTGAAGGTTGGTGCCTGTTCACTTTGGGCACTTCAGTTCCTCCGAGCAGCCCTAAACCCCTGATTTGGGTTTGAGTGCGTCAGCATAAACCTGTTCCTCATTAGCGTAAGTTAACTCTAATAGCCCCATCTTAGGCTGAAACGAGACAGATGGAAAGGAATGAGGTAACTGGATCTTAATGAGTTGATGCTCGTTAGCTGAGCTGCAGTGATGGCGCACAACGTGCTCTCCCTTCCTGGGAGGGGAAAGGCATCAGAGCAACCCCAGAGGCTTTGGGCATGGCTGGGGCTCATCCCCAAAAAGCACACGAGGTGGCTCCACATATCCTAACCAAAAAGCACTGCTTCACCTCAGCCTTTCCCTCCCTGCATCCCCTTCAAACCCTGTGGTCCCGGCCAGCTCCAGGCTCTCAGCAACGTGGGCAAGTTGTCTTTGGCTGCCCAAAAGCAGCAGAAGCAGGAAAAGAGCACAACTCACTCAGGAGGGCAAGATGCAGGGCAGATGAAATCATCATCCTAATGGCATTTTCTGTCCGGTCATCCAGGAAAAAACTTTCTTTTTTAACAAAATAGGTGGTTTAAGTCCTGCTTTACATGAGAAGTCCAATCTTAACTTCAGAGAAATGCACATTTTCTTTATCTCTGTATGCCACAGAGATTAGAGGAGATATATTTATCTAGACATCAATCTGTGTAGCCACAGAGATACGGCATCAAAATTCCATGGGTTGAGATCATCCCATGCTGAGTTTAGCACCCCAGTAAGAAACAATACTTCATTTTGCTGTTTGACATGTTTTCATCAAAACATAAGGAAAATGAGTAATTTGACCTCGAGTGCTGGGTATTTGGGCTCTTCTTTTTTTAATTTTAATTTTTTTTTTATCTTTTTTTTTTTTTTTCTTTTTAAAGCAAACACCAAAACCATCCTTCTGAACATTCTCCTTGTACAGTAATTGTTCCCAATTGCTTGTACTTTCCAGTTCTTTTACTTTGCATGTTCCCAGCAGGGTCAAAAACCCAGCTCTAGGAAGAAGGGTGAAATCTTAAGGGACACAAAAGTGCATGGAAGAAATGAGGAAGATCAAAAATGTGTCATTTCCTGCAATGATTGTCAAAGAAAATAAGAGAATATATGCAGTATTATTTTTATTTTATTTTATTTTGTTCACTCTCATACCCAGTGAATTAATACCTCCCTTGCTCTGTTAGAGCAATAGTTAAATCATCTCAGCAGTGTACTTGGACTGCCCTTTAAAGCCTTTTTTTTTCTTTTTGTTAAGAAAGTAAAGTTGAAAAATCATGAATAAACACACTCCAAGGAAATATTTCCTGTGTACAGTAGAAAGCAGCTGATCCCCTATTCAGCCCTGGGGTCAGTCCCCATCGCAACGTATGGAGGCAGAAGAGCGGGGTCACGGGGAGGAAATCAGTGTAAACAGGATCTGTCTTTATCAGTGGGAAAAAGAAAAAAAAATAATAATAAAATAAAGGTTTAAATTACCCAGAAATATGTGCCTATATGTTTTAATCACACGCTGCCGTTCCGAAGTCCTGCAAGAGGGTTAAGTTGCAGCCAGGGAGCTGCCGATCACACGTTGTTGCTGAACACCAGGCACTGATCATCCCTTCTGCTTTTCCGAGGGACTGACAAGGGGCACCCCGTGCTCACAAAGCGGGCAGGGTGCTGGGATGAGGGATGGGAAGCCCGGGGTTGGCACGGCAAGGATGCTCGCTGGAAGCCCTGCAAGGCTGGTGGGCACGAAAGGGGCTCTCCAGTCTTGCAGGGCAGCCTCTTGGTGGGATGCTGAAGCTGAAGGGGGGGCTGAAAACCCTGCAGGATATCCTCTCGGTGGGATGCTGGGTTTGGGGAGATCTACCAGCCCTGCAGGGCAGCCTCCTGGTGGGATGCTGGGGATGGGGAGGCAGGGGGGGACACCCTCCAGACCCGCAGGGCAGCCTCCTGGTGAGGCGTAGAAGCCGGGGGCTGCGGCTGCCGGTCTCCAGCGAGAAGGTTCAGACCTTCCTTTCCCCCAAACCCCCCAAACTTCCCCCTCTCCAAAAAAAAAAGGACCCCCGGGGGGGCACCCACCGCTCCGCCGGGCAAACCCTGCGTTCTGCTGCTCCCTGGCGGCGGCGGGCGGCGGGACGGGGACCCCCGGGTGCCTGCCCCCCTCCCTGGGGTGCCTGCCCCCCAAGTGCTGCCTGCACCCCCCAGGGGGTGCCCGATACTCCCGAGTTTGTCCCTGCCCCCCCAAAAAAAAAAACATCTCTCCTCCCCCCTCCGTCCTCTGCAAGCTCCCGGCTCTGCAGCCGGCTTCGCCCTGCCCCAGGGCTCGCTTCGTCCCGTCCCCTCCTCCTCCTCTTCCTCCTCCTCCTCCTCTTCCTCCTCCTCCTCCTCCTCCTCCTCCACCTGACACCCCCGGGCCGGCCCACCCCTTACCCCTCCATCCCTCCCCTCGCCCCTCCCGGAGCCCTCCCGGGGAGGCGAACGGAGCCGCCGAGCGCTGCCGCCCGCTCGCCCAGCGCAGCCCCGGAGCATGCGAGGGCAGCGGGGGGGCCCCGTCCTCGCTGCCCCCCCCGGAGGGCTCCGCCGGGGAGGGGGGCAGCGCTGCCACCCGGCTTGAAGAGGGCTGGGGGCTCGGAGCTGAGCCTCCATCCCTCCAGCATCCCGCCTTGGAGGGGAGGCTGAGCTTTGCCCCAAAATTTGTTTGTTTGTTGTTTTTTTGGTGTTTCTTTTTTTTTTTTTTTTTCTGGGGGGGGGGTGGGTTGAGCGAGTCTTGGAGGGGGCTTTGGGGATCATGCCGGGGGGGCTGCGCCTCGGCATCGCTTTCTCCTCGCCCTCCATGGAGCCCGGACCTTTTCTACAATGACTTTCGCTGAGCTGAGCAATGGCAGCTTGAGTGGGAACAGGACGGGGCAGGGCAGCCAGAGCGGTGCCAACCGGTCCTGGGGGCTGCAAGGCGAGGACCCCCCCCAGGGCAACGGCACCACGCTGCCTTTCGCCTTGGACGTGCAGGCAGTGGGCGTTGGGGTCTTCCTGGCCGCCTTCATCCTCTCGGCCATCGTGGGGAACATCCTGGTCATCCTCTCGGTGGCTTGCAACCGGCACCTGCAGACGGTCACCAACTATTTCATCGTCAACCTGGCCATCGCCGACCTGCTGCTCAGCACCACCGTGCTGCCCTTCTCGGCCACCCTGGAGGTGCTGGGCTTCTGGGTGTTCGGCCGCATCTTCTGCAACATCTGGGCAGCGGTGGACGTGCTGTGCTGCTCCGCCTCCATCATGAGCCTCTGCATCATCTCCGTGGACAGGTACATCGGGGTCAAGTACTCGCTCAAGTACCCCACCATCATGACGGAGAGGAAGGCGGGGGTCATCCTCGTGGTGGTGTGGCTCTCCTCCATGGTCATCTCCATCGGGCCGCTGCTGGGCTGGAAGGAGCCACCACCACCGGACGAGAGCATCTGTAGCATCACAGAAGAGCCAGGCTATGCCCTCTTCTCCTCCCTTTTCTCCTTCTACCTGCCCCTCATGGTCATCCTGGTGATGTACTTCAGGATCTACGTGGTGGCCAGGCGGACAACCCGGAGCTTGGAGGCGGGGGTCAAGAAGGAGAGGAATAAATCCATGGAGGTGGTGCTGCGCATCCACTGCCGCAGCGTGCTGGAGGAGCCTCTCTCCAGCACCCGGAGCAAGGGGCACAACTTCAGGAGCTCCCTCTCCGTGCGGCTCCTCAAGTTCTCCCGTGAGAAAAAGGCGGCCAAGACTCTCGCCATCGTCGTGGGCGTTTTCATCCTCTGCTGGTTTCCCTTCTTCTTCGTCCTGCCTTTTGGTAAGTGATCCTGTCCCCAGCCCAGCCCTGTGGCAGAGCCCTGAGGACCTGATCCTTGGGACACCTTTCAGGACACAACTCATGTGTGGAGGTGAGGGATAGGTAATGGATAGGTGGAGAAACCAGCAATGAATTAATTCAATTAATTAACGCTCGTTCAATATTTATTAATCAGAGTCACATAATCAATCAAAGCAAGCAGCCAATGAATAAAATAGCAACAAAAAAAATCGGTTTAATGAATTTATTCTGCATTCAGCACTTTAATTAATGAAGTTCGGGCTAGGGAGGCAGGAAGCAGCTCTGTTTCAAACGGGCTGTAATTACAGCATGGAGGTCTCCAAACAGCCTTGCAGTCCCTGACCCTGGCCTCTCATCCTCACAGTTTTGGGGAAGGCACATGGGTCTGCTTTCATATGCCCAGGGCTCCCACCCCTGCTGTAATTATGTTGGAGATTAGGGAGGTTAAACCCCTCTAAAAACTATGTCAGAGACTGAAAGATAAGTCCTGCCAACTTTCCAGGATGCTGATGTTGTGTTGGGACCTCTACCAGGACCAGGTCTTATCTAAAAGGGTCCTGGTGATGTCCCAGGGCTCTTCCTCCTCCTGTGGGAGTCGTGCCCTCAGCTCCTGACCCTGCCAAGATGCCTGTGCCATGGGTGCTCATTTGGGGCTGTCTGCCAGGTTGTGCTCTAAAGTTTTAGCAAGCTCTGCCCCAGTGCTCCGGTTTGCCCGAGTGAGAAGGATGAAGCCCTCAGTGTGCAGAGAAAGCTGAGCAGACACTGAGGAAGGGACGTGATGCACAAGGCAATGTTCCCCTCCAGCACCAGAGCTACTTGGGACCAAAAAAGTGCAGGGAACCCAGAGCTCTTCATCACTGCCTCTTATAACGACAGTCATCAAATTAACCCTCTGGAGTGATGTAGCTAAACCAGGGGAGAAGGAAAAAAGTGTGAAAATAACTTTATAATGTAGGTGATGGTCTTTGCACAAAGCAGGGAGGTCTGTGACACCATCTGCAGGGTGGGACCTGCACATCCCACAGCCCACCACACTACTAGGACCACGTACACCAGCCAGCAGGGAGGCACTGCAGCTAGTTCTGCACTTTTTTCTCAGATATTTCAAACCCTCTTGCTCGAGTCAAGTCAATAGCAACAGAGCATGGGGACCAAAAGACTAATTTTGACCCACCGAGCTTTGGGTCTCCCTCCAGCCCTGCACCTTTGTCCCTAGGGTGCAGCTAGAGCCCAGGGCTGTTAGACACCTCACTGAGCCTGCTCAGCACCATCCTGCCCTCTGGAGGGATAATTCACCAGCACCAGAGCTGCCTCGGATGCTGAGGTGTCCATGGGGTGGTGGTCAGGTGTCTGGTCTCCCCATGCTGATGCATGTTCTTGCATCTCTTTCCTTCGGTCTCTCTGGCTGAGCGTGGTGCCTGGGGAGTTTATCTCAGCTCTCTTAAGGGTTTTTGTCCTGTGCGAGCAAGGACGGTTGTGGTTTAACTCGGGCAGGGAGCTGCAGGGCTGTGGTGAGCTTCTCTCATTACAAGACCCAAGGTTACAAACCCCAGCTGACCGTGCCTCAGTTTCCCTTTCATCATTTGTGTGCACTGGGAGGTTTTCGTAGCCTGCAGAGACCTTTGGAAGTGAGGGGTTTGGAGAGATGCCAGGCTGAAGGCTGAGCTCTCGGGGCAGCCCCAGGCACTTGCCTCCTTGGCTGAGCAATTTTGCAGGAACCAGCTCCAAACCTCATTCCCAACTTATACCTTGCAGCTAATGAAGCTAGGAATCAGGGGGATCCTATTGCTCTGAATTATTTCTACTACTTGTAAATGGAGACACCAGGCAAATACTTTTCCATATGAAAAAAAAAAAATATATATATATATATATATATTTAACCTCATTTGCCCCCCCTTGAAGCCATTGAACTAGCTCCTGCACTGATGTAAATCACTACTGTTGCTCTTATGTCAAAGGAAAATGATGATTTACACCAGCGAAAAATCCAAACTTCATTCTTTAAGTACCTCCTGTGAACCCATTTGCTTCCTCCAAGTGTGCAACTTGCCAAGTTCTCTATAAACATGGCTTTGATCTTTACTTCCTGCTGTATTATACGTATAATATAAACACAGCAAAAGTTCATTTATTTTATGACTGAAAAATATGCTGCCTCTGATTTCACCTCCCTTTTATTAATTGCAATTTCCTATTCAAACCCGAGAATCATTTATTGCTATCTAGGAGGAGAACAGAAACTTCTGTAAGGTCTAATCTCTGATTTTACAGCTCGTGAGATGGGTCTGAAACAGTAAAACCAGTAAAGTTCACTGCAAATCCATAAACTGAAATATGCTGGGGCCAATTCTCTTTTGAAAGAAGATTGCAAACGGTTATGTAGAACTGCATTTTTATTTGCTTGTTAGACTAACTTGAAAGAAAGTATTTAGGGTCTACTGGAAATAGTATTGATAAATATTTTTAATGGAAATGAAACACTGGTTGGAAACAAAAATCATTTTCAATTGAAGTGAAACATATTGTTTCAATTTAAGAAAAGGGTGAATAAGTGTTTATTAAAAATGAGCACTCTCAGCTATATTTCAAAATGAGCTGTCACATTAAAATGAAACGAATGTGATCTATTTTATTCTGAAAATATCAAAATGAAATATTTTGACTTTCTTGTTCATTCTATTTGTCACTGAATTTGCATGAAGTTATCACTGACTGACTTATCCTGCTGACTCCTTGTTGCCTGAATATGCTTTTTGGGGATAAGTGAATTTGTCAACTGAAAAGTAAAAGGCTTCCTGCTCTGCTTAGCGTGGACTTAGCAATCAGAGCACCAGCTCTGTCACCCGGTGTCGGCATCAGCCCGCACACATCTGTGCCTCTTTCTGCAGAATAGCTTCCACTTTGGCTACACAAAAAGAATACTTACCACATCTGCATTGAGAAGCTGAAATAACTAAAAAATTTTAAATAACAGGACCACAGGACCTATGGATGCACTGAGTGTTGTCAGTCTTTTCTCTGTGCTGGAATAATCTGCAAGCATGCTTCTTTAAATCAGCTGGAATTAACAAATACTTCCACAGGCTGTTTATCAGCTGCATAATTCAGCTCGCTTTTGGGTCTGGGATATGTGTCTCCAAGCATAAGATGCCATCTCCAGGAGTTTTAGCACAATTAACAGTTTGCGTAGCTAATGAGACTCTTTAAGCAGCTCGTTGTTCAACAAAAGATGGAATCCTAATTACAGGACAGCCCTAATGGGCTGTGCCTTCTGCAGGGTGTGCAGTAGAGCTCTGCTAAACTGCTTCATCTGGGAGGCTGCTTGGTGAATGTGTGTTTTTCTGCCAAGGTTCCTCTTTGCTTAGCAAAGACCCATCAAGAGAACATCACGAGGCTTTCTAGAGATGTTGGCCAGGTGTTTAAGGGTATTTTTTATGATAAAATTCATCTCAATCTGGGTGTCTCAGGCATAAGTACCTTCATCTCAGGTAGCCATATCATCATGGAGGTGCTGGTTGGAAGGGTCCTCTGAAGGTCCAGCTGCCTTTTGGAGCAACGTTAACACCAATACAAGGTCAATCAGGCTTATTCATCCAAAGCCCCCTTTATCTTTCCTATGGAGGTGCCTGAAAGTGTGACCAACCTGATCTGTTTTGGACATCCTCCACAGGACAAGATGAATTATGGTGTTAATTTGCCTCTTCAGAGGAAGAGGATACAAAAGTACCCTCTAGGGACAACTAACTGGCTGACAGTGTCTACACTGTAGGTATATGTAAAGATGTAAGAGGTAGCCTAGACTCGATTTTTTTAAGTCCAATGGAAGCATGACAGCCAGGTGAGGAGAAGCTCAACCGTACATCAGGTCAATCTTTTATTAGACACTGGAGAATTACACATGACTTCTCCTTTAAGAAGCACAGCCATAGGAGCTTCACTGGCTCTTCTGCTAATGGAAAACCCTGCTAGAAGTCAGGGGCTAAATTTGTCCTTTCAGCAGACATTTATGCAATGGGCCAAGAAACCAGAACCCCTTATACAACACCTCTTAATAGTTATCTCCTTTCTCCAAGATGAGGCAATAGGAGGTAAGAACAGGAGGAGGGATGGAGCCCTGCTCCCCATCCAATTTTCAGCTCCCAGGGAGCACGCAGAGAGGGTGTGGGGCCCCAGATGGGACCACCTGAAGAGTGGAGGCAAAGCCCCTCTTCATCACTACCCTAGGAGAATCCAAAAGGAAAATCTATCCCTTGGGGTGCAGTAGCCAGTACCCAGAATGGTGATTTACATCCCTCCATGGCTCTTGGTTGTTAACAGATGTAGTCCAGTCTAGGTGGTGGGCTCCCGTGTTTGTTATCCTTCAGATTTGGTCAGAAACCCAGGCTGGTATGAGAGAGGCACAGAAGCACCCACAGCTGCTGCCACACAAGGGTGAAGTCCACAACCCAAGGATCCCTCCATCCTGTCCCCCCACAAGCAGCAGTTACCCAGACAAGGAAGGGCTCGAGAGATCCCTCACTACAAGCAAAACCCCGCTCTTATATTTGCGTTGAGGCATGGACTTGCCTGTGTCTGCAGTGGAGGCTGGTGCTTATTTCCAGTTATGATTTAAAAAAATAGTGTCCTGGCTTTTTTTTCCCTGCATCCTGAAGGAAAGGCAGCTGCTACACAAACCAGGTTAAGAAAGGTCTTTTTCAAGCCAAAACAAAATTATTTTTTGTAGATACTATTTTTCACAGGTCAGAAGAAGTCCTTTCACAAAACTTTTTGCAGAAGATGGGCTCACAGAGACATAGCATGGCTCAGACTTTGGAAACTGTCATTTGTAAAATGGATGATGGGGAGGGCAGTGGAGGTAGAGGCACATTTCAGATGAGACCAAGTCTATTGTGGTAGGAAAATCTACTTCTATTCTGGTAGAAGTACATTTGCCATGTTTTCCTAAGGGAACAAGGGCTTATGTCATCGCTCTTTGC